GGGAGGGGAGGGGAGGGGAGGAAAGAGAAAGAGAAAGAAAGAAGGGAGGGAGGGAGGGAAAGAGAGAGAGGAGAGAGAGAGAGAAAGAGAAAGAAAGAGAGAGGGAAAGAGAGAGAAAGAGAAAGAAAGAGAGAGGGAAAGAGAGAGAAAGAGGGAGAGAGGGAAAGAGAGAGAAAGAGAGAGGGAAAGAGAAAGAGAAAGAAAGTGTCAATTACGATATTTAAACTGATCGGTTGTAATTCTGTCAGCCTTTAGACATGGATTTTTTGAAGCTGTGACCGGAAGTGAAGTCCCCTCGGCAAAGTGACAGAGCTCTTTGTTCTCTTCCCCTGCCTCTTCCCCCAGAGCAAAAACCCACGCGCCATGGCACCCAAACTGGGGGAGGGACCTACTTTTCCTAAGTCACACCCTGCTCTATAAGTGGGTACCAGGGGGTGGCAGCCACTGATATTCTCAGCTGGTCTCGCCCTGCCTGGTGTGAAAAAGCCTCCATCCTATGAGCTAGCTGGAGTTGGGCCAGCAGGGCCCAAGCGCTCTCAACCTGCGGCACCTGGAGAAGAGCGTCCACGCTCCACGTGGGCCTTGTGGGAAAGTTCTCTCTGCTGCACCTGCTTGCGATAGAGATTCTGCAACACAGGGATGGGCAGGGAGGGGTGGGGTGCTGCGTAAAAAAAGGCCAGCAGCCTTCCCCTCCCACAGCGAAATGAAGAGCCAGACTAGGGGCTGGGAGAAGAGCTGGTCTTTTTGACCACACCTGCCTAGAGTATAACACCCCAGGTAAAACTTCCACGACACAGAGCTGGGGGGTCAGGGGGAGAAATGGTGTTTTTCTAACACCAAGTATTCGTTACTTTCACACCGATGATCTGATACCAGCTGGGTGTCCAACATGTGAGAGTAAGTAAAATTTAAAAGCTGGCCGGGTGCAGTGGATCATGCCTGTAATCCCAGCACTCTGGGAGGCCAAGGTGGGCAGATCACTTGAGGTCAGGAGTTTGAGACCACCCTGGGCAACATGATGAAACGCCATCTCCACCAAAAAAATTTTAAAAATTAGCCAGGTATGGTGGTGCATGTGTGTAGTCCCCAGCTACTTGGGAAGCTGAGGCAGGAGAATCGCTTGAACCCAGGAGGCAGAGGTTACGAGCCGAGACCGCACCACTGCACTCCAGCTTGGGCAACAGAACGAGACTCTGTCTCAAAAAAAAAAAAAAAAAAGAAAAGAAAAAAATGTAAAAGCTGTTGGAACCCCAAAACCGCTTTAAGCCTTGAGAGAGATGTGATTGTGATGTGGGTCACAGAGTCTGTTCTGCAGATCTGCCTCTTAGACTGGAGCTTAACCCTGTTCCCCATTGTTCCCGTTCTGTAAATGACGAGGAAAGACCAGAGACCGGAACTCCCCTCCCCATCACTGACCTTGTTGTAAATTAACTACCTCCTTTATTGGCCTGTACCTAACTCAGACCAGATGGTGGTATGAACAGAGACCCTGTGGCACGATCATAACTCACTGCAGCCTCGAACTCCTGGGCTCAAGCAATCCTCCCACCTCAGCCTCCTGAGTAACTGGGACTACAGGCGTATGCCACCATGCCTGTTTTTTTTTAGAGATGGGGGTCTTGCTATATTGCCCAGGCTGGTCTTGAACTCCTGGCCTTAAGTGATCCTCCCACCTTGGCCTCTGAAAGTGCTGGGATTATAGGCATGAACCAGTGCACCTGGCCAAGGGCATGTTTAATGATGCCTGGCCTCCCTGCCTCCCTACGGCCTAGGTTTCTTCCCTCCAAAGCTTCCCAGAGGTGACAGTGCCCCAGGTCACTGTCCACTGTCCTTGGCCGGTGCTGCAGTCTGCATGGCTTTGTGCACTGCCTGCCTCCCCTCAGAAGATCCAGCTCCTGCGGGGCTGCTGACTTTGTGTCTCGCAGCTCCAGCAGCTCTGGGCCCATCCGTCTCAGTCCCCAGGAGACTACGGAAGGCAGCTGCAGAAACGATAATGAGACAGTGCCCCTGTTGGCAAGTAGCGGCCTAGGGTCCAAAGTAGGGAGCTTTGGGGAGAGTCTCCAAGCAAGCCCCAGGAAGTGCTCTCCCTCCAACCCGCAGCGTCCCCTCCCTGCCTCCACCAGGAAGGCTGGCCGAGAAGTTCAGCTCATCCCTCTTGCCACGTGGTGCTGACAAAGCCATCCTGGTGCTGACGAAGGCGAGGAGGGCAGGTGTCCAAGCTGACACCCTCTGTGGGTTCCAGGCTGCCTGAGGGGCCGTGGGTCCCCATCAGGCTGGGAATTCAGAGCTACCCCCTGCGATGGGCCTGGGGAAAAGAGAATAGAAATGGGGGAGGCACAGGGAGGCCCCCAGTCAGCTGGGAGCACCGTGGGAATTTTTGCCCACCTAGGCTCTGCAGGAGCAACTGTTCAGGTGGGGGAGGGGGCAATGTCCAGCAGGAGCAGGGGCATCGCGTTGGGCTGGAAGGGCACTGGGCCAGGCCTCCCCTCCTCTCCCCTCAAGGCCTGGGCAGCCAGAGCTCCCTCACTGCAGTGAGTGCACTCAGCCTGAGGCCTGTGCAGAAGCGTGGGGGTCTCTTCCCTCTGCCAGTCACATTTTTACCGTCCCAGGGCTGCCCTGCCTGCAGGGAACAGGCACCCTGGGAAGGGCAGACCACCACAGGTGGGGTCCAGGGGTGCTGGAAATTCCAGGAGCTGCCTGCCTATCTCACAAAGTGGACGGGAGCTTCATGGGCCAGCACTCACTAAGTGCCCCCAGCATCCCTGGACCGTATCCCTGTGCAGGGAACTGTTACAACTTTACAGATGAGGTCTTGTGAACTCTTTCACAGAGCAAGGTTCAGGCCATTGGCCCAAGGACTCACTGGAGGTCAGACAGAGCCCAAATGTGAGCCCAGTTTTGACCAACCAATCACTTCTCTGACCTTTCTCATCACCAATAGTAAAAACGCCCCCACCTCCCTGTGCTTCTGACCCCTCACGTGCCCCCAAGTTCTCCTCATCCCCCCGCCCCGCCCCAAGGGTCCTACAACTCGTGAGATCTAGTCGCTCCAAGAAACCATATTTGCTGAAGTGCCACTGCCATTCCCCTTGGCTACTGTCAGAGTTTTTCAGGGTGGTGCTACAGCCATCTCTTGCTAAGTGCCAAGCCCTGGGATGACAGGGATGGAAAAGACCTGCCCACTGTCCCAGGGAGTGAGTGCCTGGGCTGGTGAGGAACACAGGCAGGCACACAGGCATGGCTGGCTGAGATCGGGGCTGGGGATGGAGCTCATAGAGGCACCCAGCTGCTGGCCAGGGCCCCATCAGCTGGACCCCCTACCGCACCCACGCCAGGACACTGTCACCCCAGGCCAAAGCTGCAGAACAGGCTTTGTGTGCCCGGGGTTACTGTCTGATCAGCACAAAGGACAGGATGGCGATTTCCAGGGCCCTGACCCACATGAACATTCCCCATGGCGCTTATTTCCACGTGGGGGAAAGAGGGGTGTCCCCAGAAGCCCAAAAAGTTGCCCTGGGAGCCAGGCATCCTGCCTGCTGTGGCCTGGGACTCCTGGGCCCTCAGTGATGCATCTGCCTTGGAGTGGGACCTGGTACTGGCGCCCAGCAGGAACAGGGCAAGGTCCCTTTAAGCCCAGCCTCACTCCCTCGGCCTGTTGCTATGTACGGGACCAGCTTCCTTAGCAACCACCTGGCCTCTTCCTGGGGCTTGGAGCCCTGGTTGCCATCAGCCATGGCTCCCAAAAAGAGTGTGAGCAAGGCAGGCAAGGAGCTTGAAGTCAAGAAGAAGAAAGGCAGCAAGAAGGAGCCGGTGGTGGCCGTGGAGCCGCCTCTGGCCAAGGAGACGAAGGAGTTCTACCACATCCAGATCCGAGACCTGGAGGACAGGCTGGCCCGGTACGTGGGCTGGCAGGCAGGAGTCTGGTGCCCTGGGTCAGAAGCCCATGCTCAGGTGGCCCCCGTGTGGGTTTGGCCAAGGGGCCCTAGGCCTGTGTTCTGACCTCCCCTGGGATGTCCAGACCCCATCCCGTTTCCTCATTTCCTCATATGTACCTTTGGGAGGTTTCAAGATTTTAAGGGTAAATGGATTTCCCCACCTTCCCAGCTCCTAGAACCCTGGGCCCACGATGCTAACTCGTGGCCCCGCCCCAGGCAATCCCCACTTCCCCCTGCCTCACTCCTGCCCCGTGGGATCACAGGCTTTATGAAAGGGTAGAAACAGCCCTCTGGCGGGCGGGTGGACCCCCTGGTCCCACTTCCACTTCCTGGGAGTGGCGCCTGTGCCCCACTGACTCACCCAGCACATGAGCCCAGTTGTTTCTCCATGCTGGGCCTCAGTTTCCCCAAATATAAGTGGGGAAGGTTGATTCCCCCTCCATGGATGTGACATTCTATTCTAGAGCCAGTTTTTTGTGTGACATGGTGGTGGGGGGAGATCCTCTAACTCTTCATTCAGAGCCATGTTCACCTGCCCATCATTTTCTTATGTTACAACCAGTTTCCTCCCAGTTGTGAGGTACCAGCCCCAGTCTCAGGGTGACCTTAAAAGACAAACCAGTAGGCGGCAGCTCTTCCCCAGGTGACTGATGCTGTGGGTAACCACAGCTAATGCTGAGTCCCTCGTGGTGCCAGGCAGGCCACATACTGGTGCCCACTGAGTCCTCACAGCAGTCTTACTAGAGAGGTCAGATGTCATCCCCATTGCACAGATGGGGAAGACTGAGGCTCAGAGAAGGGAAGTCACCCCCAGGAAGAGGAAGCACCAGGATGGGAGCCCTGGCCTCCTGACTCCCCTATGCAAGACTTCTTCCTCAGCCCACACCCCTGAAATGCTCTGTGTGCAGTCACTATTTGAAAGATGTTGGTCAACTAAATTGTGATGCAAAACAACTTTCCAGGCCAGGCACGGTGGCTCACGCCTGTAATCCCACCACTTTGGGAGGCCAAGGTGGGCAGATCACCAGGTCAGGAGTTCGAGACCAACCTGACCGACATGGTGAAGCCCCATCTCTACTAAAAATACAAAAATTAGCCAGGCATGGTGGCGTGCACCTGTAATACCAGCTACTCAGGAGGCTGAGGCAGGAGAATCACTTGAACCCGGGAGGCAGAGGTTGCAGTAAGCCGAGATTGTGCCACTGCACTCCAACTTGGGTGACAGATCAAGACTCCGTCTCAATAAATAAATAAATAAATAAATAAATAAATAAATAAATAAAATGTTAAAAAAAAAAAAAAACTTTCCAAGTAACTTCGGTTATTCTATTGAAAACCAGTAAACTGGTTATGTAATGCTGATTAAAATTAACATACTTCCCTTGAAGTTCACAAACTTCCCTTGAGCTGAGACATCAGGTAGAATGTATTCAAGGCAAATGTATTTAACAGAGTTATTGGGTGCTTACTATTTGCCAAGCTGTCTGCCAGGCCCTGAGAATACAGAGGTGGAGGAGAGGGACATGTTCTTAGGTTTTGACCACCCAGTGGGACAAGGGCCAACTTACAGGAGAGCACCAAAGAGAGGGCCACAAATATGGCTCAGGGCCAAGAAGGGTCCACTGAGAAGAAAACACCAGGGTTACTGGATGGAAAAAGGTAAGGGAGATGCCAGGTACAAAGACTTGGGATTGGAAAGTGTGGAAGAGTTATGGAGGGATGCAGAGCTGGCTGGCTGCAGCAGGCATTGTGGCTAAGAGCCTTGATTCTGGGGGTCAGACTGACTCAGGTTCAAGTCCTGGCTTTGCCACTTACAAACTCAGAGTTCCTTTATCCTTCTGAGCCTCAGTTTCCTCATCTGTCAAATAGGTATAAAATCATCATAGTATCTACATTCTTATAGGTTGTTGTAACGATTTAACAAACTGCTATGTGCCAGGCACAGGTGTTGGGGACATACTTGTGAACAAGGCTCTGCCCTCATGGAGTTTGCATTCTAGTGATGTAATGAAAATAACATGCTAAGCACAGGTATTGGCTGCGGTCATGACTGTTGGATCGGGGGCATAGTGAGAGATGAGGCTGGATTCTGATCACAAGGAATCTCAAAAGCCCCTTTGCAGGACAGGGGGTCCAAGAGAGTGGGCCCAGCTGCACCAGAGGCCTGGCTTGCCCAGCCTGACCCCTGGACCACGGCCCCACCCCCGCCCCCACCCCAGGTACCAGCGGAAGTGGGATGAGCTGGCTGTGCAGGAGAAGCTGTTCCGCCAGGAGTTCGAGCAGCTGGCCAATAACAAGAAGGAGATTGTGGCCTTCCTCAAGCGCACGCTCAACCAGCAGGTGGACGAGATCACAGACCTCAACGAGCAGCTCCAGAACTTGCAGCTAGCCAAGGAGATGGAGAAGGATGCCTTCGAGGCGCAGCTAGCCCAGGTGCGCCACGAGTTCCAGGAGACCAAGGACCAGCTCACCACGGAGAACATCATCCTTGGTGAGGAGGGGACTGGCTGGCAAGCCTGCAGCACACATCCCAGCTCTATCACTGACCCTGTTTCTCACCTGGGGAAACAGGGATAATAGCCACGTGCTGCTTGGCACGCACTGTCTTTCTTAATTGTCCCAGCAAGCCTGCAAAGCTGGAAACATCCCCCAACCAGTTTGTAGACAAGGAAGCACCTCAAAAGGTGAAGTGTCGTGACCAAGGTCCCCCAGTTGGCAAGGGTTGTGAGGCTCAAATGTCAGACAGCATTAGAACCTAGCCCAGAGAATATATACAGTCCAGCTGCTGGTTGGGCGTGGTGGCCTACGCCTGTGAACCCTGTGCTTTAGGAGGCCAAGGCAGGAGGACTGCTTGAGCGCAGGAGCTGGAGACAAGCCTAGGCAACATAGCAAGACTCCATCTCTACCAAAAAAAAAAATACAAAAATTAGCCAGGTGTGGTGGTGCACGTATTTAGTCCCAGCTACTTGGGAGGCTGAGGTGGGAGGATCTCTTGAGCCTGGGAGGTTGAGGCTGCAGTGAGCTGTGATTGTGCCACTGCACTCTAGCCTGAGTGACAGAGTAAGATTCTGTCTCCAAAAAAAAAAAAAAAAAATACAGTTGTTGTTGTCAGTCACTTTCATGAGAGTATCAAGGAAGGCTTCCTGAAGGAGGTGGAACCTGAACAAAACTTCGTAAGATTCATGGAGGGGTGGAGGGAGGGCAACCCAGATGAAGGCAGTAAAGGTGACAGGGCCACGAAGTGTAGGTGGGGGATGGTAGACCTGCCCCACTGAGACCGCACGGGGCACACAGGAAGGGACAGGGACCTAAGGGCCATCTTTAAGGTCCTCGCCAGGCCCTGTCCTCTGAGGCAGCCCCTTATTGGGCCTTGTGCCCTGTGACGGCCAGGGGGGAAGCTGGCAGCCCTGGAGGAGTTCCGGCTACAGAAAGAGGAGGTCACGGAGAAGTTTACGTTGCTGGAGGAGCAGGTGCGGAAGCAGGAGAATGAGTTCAGGGACTATGCGTACAACCTGGAGAAGAAGTCGGTGCTGGACAAGGACAGGTGGGCAAGCGGGGCACCCTTTGGGGCCTTTGGAGCCTTCATCCCTGGGACCACGAACATCCTAGTCTTCGGGCCCCAGCTTCTAGCTGGGGCGTTAGATGGGGTAACTGACCCCTGCCCCCACAACCTGCTACTCCTTGGAATCCCAGCTGGTGATTATGAAGGGGTGGGAGAAAGGGAATAAGCTCCCAACTGCAGTCCTCACGCTGGCATTGGAGACTCCCAGGGCTTCCTTTTGCCACGTACTGGGATTATATCATGTTTACTTAATAGGGGAGAGTACACCGAAATGGTACCAGTTACAAAAGTCCAGAGGATCTACAGGGAAAGCCTCCTGCCTATAGCCCCAACCCTCCCTGGGAGAGAGTATGCTGGTGTTTAACAGCCCTAGGTGTTCTGGGAACCTCACAGAGGAAAGGGTGTGCCCAGGGCTTGTGCCCGCTCTGTCTGACCCCTTCTCTCTCCCACCTTTCTGGCCAGACTGAGGAAAGAAATCATCCAACGCGTGAACCTCGTGGCCAGTGAGTTCCACAAGGTGACCACGAACCGGATGTGGGAGACAACGAAGCGGGCCATCAAAGAGAACAACGGCATTAGCCTGCAGATGGCCAGGGTCTCCCAGCAAGGCATGAAGCTGCTGCAGGAGAATGAGCAGCTCAAGGGAAGCCAGGGCAATCTGTGCAAACAGCTGGAGCTGCTGGAGAACACCCAGAAGGTCATGGCCAGGCACAAAAGAGGCCACCAGAAGGTGCGCCTGCGGGCCTCAGTACAGGGCATTTGGCATACACGGCAGGAGGCCGCCCTGGGGACCCTGCAGGGAAAGTCAAGTCAGGAGGGAGGGAGGCAGCAGAGAGAGGACTGGGCCTCCTGTGGGGGCTGCAGGGCGCTGGGCCTAGCTCTGGATTGTATTGACTTAAAACCCCCATAGCTTATGGAAGCAGAGCCCAGTCCTGGAGAGCTCACTGGTCGCTCTGCACGGGGGAGCAGGGGAGGCCTGGCTGTGTCCGCAACTGGGGGACAGGGCTGGCTGAGGGCATGGCCACCTGTCCGCACCCGCAGATTATCCTCATGCTGACCAAGAAATGCCAGGAGCAGCAGCAGGACACCAAGGAGGCCGAGCAGCTGCGCCTCCTGCTGAGCCAGTTGGAGCAGAGATCCCTGCAGCTGCAGGGGGACAACCAGGCACTGAAGTGCGTATGGCCTGCGGAGGGGTGGGTGGCGGGTGGCGGGTGAAGGCTGGGGCCAAGCTCCGACCCAGCTCTTTCTGATCTCACCACCCAGGCCAGTGACTTCCCCTCTCTAGAGGAGCCTGCCAGACAGGCTGAGGACTTGGGGCTGGATGGGGGCCCCTCTGGGCTTGGAGAGAAATGGCAGGGCCCCTAGCCCCAGGTGGCACCAGTCCTGGGGAAGGGGGAAGGCTGTTGACTCATCCCAGTTGGGGTCCAGGAGCCAGAGAGACCAGCTGAGCTTGCAGCTGGGGCAGCAGCAGGGGGATCTGCAGCGGCTACAGCAGGAACTGGCTAATGAGCAGAAGGTTCGGGCCAGCCTGGAGGCGGCCCTGGTCCAGGCCACCTCCTTCCTCCAGAACATTCTGCAGGTGAGCAGAAGGGAGGGAGGGAGGGAGGGCGCAAGGGGGCGGGGGAGTGAGCCCAAGATGTAAGCTGCTTGCAGAGAAGAGGCTGCCTCAGGATCAGAGGCCCCTCTTTTCCCTGAGAGCCTCCTGGAAAGTCTGTCCTTCGCTGATTCTGGCCTTCAAAGATCCCTCCAAGGTCTTAAAGGAGCTGGATTCCTTCTCTGAGGCTCTGAAAGGTCTCAGGCCTCAGTCTTCCCGACTGGAGAATGGGTATCCCACCAGAGACAGGGAAAACTTCGTGGAAACGGGGCAATGAGGTTGGAGGTTCCTGGAGGAGGGTGGGTACTGGGGCCACTGTGGGCCTGCTGCCACCCCACCCTCACCAACAGATGCACCCCGATGAAGAGGACAGCGACTTCAACGTGACATTCCAGCTATGGCACAAGGAGATGCTGCAGCAACTGCTGGTCATGCTCAGCGCCACTGTGGTCCCGAGACCCCAGAAGGCTGGCTGTCCCCACCCGGAGTCACAGTCCCATGGCCCACCCAACGAGAGGTGAACAAGTGGCCCTGTGCGGCCTCAGAGGCGGTCATAGAGAGCAGGGCAAAGGCATGCAGCCATGGGGACAGTGCTCGGCTCACCCTGGGCCAGAAACCTGGCTCGTGGAAGGCTCTGTGACCCTCGGTCCCCTCCCCACAGCCGGCCCAGCATCCAGCTGCCCAGGACTGGGTCTCTGCTGCCGCAGCTCTCTGACATCACCCACTACCAGCCGGGGGATCTAGGCCTGGTACCTCGCCAGACCCACATCCCACCCAACCCCCAGGACCTCAGGCTGCTGTCATATATCACCCGTGTGGGGACCTTCCGGGCACATAGCAGCCCTGAGGTGAGGGTGCTAGGGGCCCCAGTTAGCCAGTCCTGGGAGCAAACTGAGGCTCTGCCAGGCCACAGCTGTGTGGTCCTGGGGATGTAACCAGACCTCTCTGACCCTTCCCATCTGTAAAATGGGCTGAAGAAAGGGGTGGCCAAGCCTCAGTGGGCCAAGGCATGCCCACACATGCCCTGGGAGGGGGGTTGGCTGGACCCTGTTGTTCCCCGCCACCAGCAGAGTGGGATCCCCCTGAAGAGGCCTCAGCTTCCAAGCTAGCATCTTTTTTTTTTTTTTTTTTTT